CTTCGCCCCTTTGCCGAAAACGGCCTCTTGGTCATCTTACCTTCTAGGCAGGACTCACAAGTCTGGTAATGATCTTCTACTGGACAAAGATGCCCAATAGATACCAACCTTTGAATCCTCCTAAGGTTGATGTGCCCAAGCCTAAGGTGCCAAAGATATGCTTGATTCATCGAAGACTCTTTTCTCTTATTAGTTTTAGTCGAGCCATTATTCGATTCATTTTGTTGTAGTGTGGGAGACTTTGGTTTCAGAACATATAAATTGCCAACCATTGAACCAGAACAAATCAAATGATTACCATAACGAATAACAACTGAGTTATTAAACGAAACTGAATAACCATTCAAAACGAGTTTAGAAACTAAAATTAAATTTCTCTTAAAACTTGGAACAAAAAGACAATTGTTCAAAACCAAAATACTAGCATCAAATACTAAAGTAACCACTCCCACTGCAACTGCTGCTACTTTCGTAGCATTGCCCATGTAGACTGTAATCTCTCCATCCCTAAGCCGCCTGGTTTCCTGGAACCCCTGCAAAGAATTGCAGACATGATCAGTGGCTCCAGTATCTACACACCAGGTACTGGTAGATACAACCGCTAAACATGTTTCTACGATGAAAGTATGAGAGTTACCTTATTTGCCCTTCTTGAGGAGAGGAAAATCGACCTTCCAGTGCCCTGACTTATTGCATTTGTGGCATCTACCTTTCGGCTTCTTTGCCACAGCCTGTTGAGGCACTAACTGGATGCTCTGTGCCTTTGCCTTTCCTGCAGCCTTCTTCCTCTTCCTGCCCTTGTGAGGCCTGGAAGGTCCGGCTTGCTCGGCAACCATCACAACTGATTTCTGAGTGAACAAGGCCTCAGCCGACTGGAGTTCTGACAACAGTTCTGGAAGAGCCATATGCATCTTGTGCATGTTATAGTTCAAGCAGAACTGATCAAAACTCTTCGGCAAAGATTGGAGCATGATATCGACCTCGGTTTCCCCGTCAATAAAACCTCCAAGAACCTCTAGCTCATTCAGCTGCGCCATGACCTTGAGAGCATGCTCCCTTACGGGTGTACCCTATGCCATGCGCGTGTTCATCAGAGCACTTAAAGCCTCTTGTCTTACTGCCCTCGACTGATGCCCAAACAGTTCCTTGAGGTTCAGAAGCATATCTGCAGCAGTGGCCATTGACTGATGCTGATGTTGAAGGACATTTGACATAGAAGCCAGAATGTAACACTTCGCCATCTCATCAGCCTTCTTCCACCGAGCATACTCCTGTTTCTCCTCATCTGGGGCAATATCAGCCGGCACATCAGGACAAGCCACAGTTAGCACATACTTATAGCTTTCAGCAG